AGTGGACTACGCAACTACTGTTTCGGATATTCAAGGTTAATATATTGGGCAAATGGATTTGAACCGATGTCCTCTCTCCCGTCACGGCTGGAGTGGTGCTGGTGCTGCGGATGCCTGGATCATTGTTTTAGGTTTAGCTTAATCTGGACCATTGTTTTAGGCTTAGTTTATTCAATGTATTCGATAGCCGAATTTGGAGTACATTCCATAGGCCTAGTAGGCAACTACATCATTCTCCAGATCCAAGGTTGTACAACAAGGGTGTAGTTGACATCGACAGCGAGGTCTCGTTTGCTAAAATCACTCGCGCATATTGGAGTCAGTGGTGCATCAGATATGTAAACGAATTGATGCTTCTGGTGGATAATGTTTCTAGAATTATAGTGGCACCCTGATGAAACTGGACCAATGTGGTATGGACATTGGACACTGACCGGTGTTTTGTCTAACGCTGCGGATTCACGAGATAGGCTAATGGATGCTAGGCTACATCAGATGAATTTTAATAGCCTGCGCCAAAGGTTCCTTCTCCAGTATTGCTGGCTGGCACTATCCGTTGTTTGTGTGTAGCGATATGCCCTTGTGGTCTCTGTCAACTTTACATGCCTGAACAAAAACAGGTGTGAGGTAAGGGTGTTTTGGAAACGGTCAGTGTTAGGGAAGCTACTGTGAAAATATAGTTGACCAATTACGTCACACTGGAAGAAGTTAATCTACACTAAAATGTATTTTCCTTAAAGTTACTTTGATAAAGTATAGTTCACTACATCCAAACTACTTCGTGAAAAATGATCAATATGTAAATCTGAAATGTCATAGACAACAAATTGCAAGAATAGGTCAATTGCAAGAATAGCCTACTTCACCCATATTTTATTTTTGCAAAAATACCAACTACTGTAGTTCCAGCAGTTCAGCCTGGTCTCATATACTAGACATAGCATAGTAAATGTAAATCAGGGACACTCAAATTATTATGATATGTTACCTTTGGCATGGAATGCAACCAAAAATAATTTTCAGAAACCCGTTACTAAAGACGGAATCATCCATGATTCATCAAATTACATTTTATACCAGTTTCAGTGTATACCAGTTTCATTTGAGGACCAGGATGTTGACAGCTGTGCCATACAGATTGCAAAATAGCTGGGAAGAGATTTTTGATGTACCGATTCCATGGCAAAGGGTGTATGAGTTTATATATAAAACGATGCAAGATTCATTTAAGACTTCGTGCTTTTCAGCTAAACTAATTGTACAGAATTCTTGCCACCAACAAAATGTTGAATATTTGGGGCATACAACCATCGCAGCTCTGCAGATTTTGTTGTGAGGATACAGAATCAATAGACCATTTGTTCTTGTATTGCCCTCAGGTAGCCATGTTTCTGGTCTCAGGTTCAGGAATGGCTGAAAAAGCATAACATTCATCTAAAATTGACCCTAGAAATAGCATTGTTGGGAGATCTGGAGAGACCTGGTCAGTCAATTACTAATATACTAATACTCTTAGTAAGCGTATTTATATATAACTCGCAATCTGTGGATTCTATTCGATTAGATAGATTCAAATTGTATGTTAAACATCACAGCATACTTGAAAGCTATATGGCGTGTAGAAATCCGAAGAGGGTGGCCAGCAGAGATCGGTGGGATGAACTGAGGGAAACAGAGGGTTGGGATGTGGAACTGGAGACAAGTGGGAGTGGAGTTGCTGGGTGGGGGATAGAATGATGGTCAAAGATAAAGGTCAAAAATAAAGTCAAAATAAACAACAACAAAAAGTATGTTTGAATGACACTGAGGGGCAACGCTGTTACATATGATGCCGCGCAGGTGCTTGTACGCACATACACATGCATATACATACTCGCATTCAAACGCACACATGTGCACTCAAACGCATAGTCGGCCTTGCCGTTTTGATTTTTGTTGGCCTTGATGTATTTTGTTTTTGTATTGTTGTTTTCGATTGTTTATCTATTTTTTCCATTTTGTTAGTGCATTGGGGGATGGTGGCTTGGGTTGGGGGTGGAGGGAGGGTCTCGGATGGTTGAGAGGCAGCTCTCGGGGAACTGTGAAGGGATCTTGGCTGGTTGGTGGCCTGGTGGTTAGGAGCTTGGGCCGGTGGCCAATAGGTCACTGGATCGGGTCCCTGATTTGACTTGGTGGAAGATCTGTCGACGTGCCCTTGGGCGTGGCGCTTGACCCTGGTTGCTCCTGTGGGTCGCTCTGGATGGGAAGTCTGCTAGATGACTGAATGTAATGTAAATGTTGAGCGGCTTCACTGCAGGTAGATTGTGTTTTAATATTTAAAAAAAATCTATAAACAGTTTGGCATGGTACATAAGACAGGTTACTTAAGGCAATAACGTGAATGTCTAGCAACCCAAAGGTTGCGTGTTAGAATCTCATTATGGACAACTTTAGCATTTTAGCAACTTTTCAACTACTTACTACTTTTTAGCTACTTTGCATGTTAGCTAACCCTTCCCCTAACCCTTTTAGCTAACCCTTTAACCTAACGCCTAAACTTAACTCCAACCCCTAGCCTAGCTAACATTAGCCTTAGCCACCTAGCTAACATTAGCCAAAAGAAATTGGAATTCGTAACATATCATACAAAAATGGATTATGGACATCCACAAATTAATACATACCAAATGAAAAACGTACCATATCATACTAAATGGAGGATCTCGGACTTACGTACAAAATAATACAACATGCTCTGAGACCAGGTTGCAGCAGTTAGCTACACCACGAAATGGCAAAAAAGTAATTAACTACTGAAAACACTACCTCGATTTCAATTTAGTTACACTACCACCAATATACTGTAGTTAAATTACTAGTTGAACTACATGTAGTTCACTACTCCCAATACTGGAAACGGTCTTGCTGGTGTTTATTGGCATTAATCGAATGAAGCAATCCACCTGCATTCTAGGTCAATTTATAGGTAAACTGCGCAAGTGTTTTGGGGGTTAGGATTACCGCTTTTCGTGTTCACGGCGGACCTTGATTTAATAGCAATACAATTAAGGCACGCGGTGGATGCCAAGAGAGGAATCACGTTAACATCGATCCAAATAATTGAAGTGATTGTATTTTAAGCAATCAAACAAAACATGTCATCATCATCAACATAGTTACTTCATTGGTAAGAAACATAGTCTACAACTATGAACTCTTGTGATCAAACACTGGAAAAGTATATGGACACATTATTTTAAGAGTCTGTTAGCCTTGGTTTGATGTGCTGTGAATTATGTAGGCCTACAGTTGAATTTGTTTTTAAGGATCATGGAATCAAAAATAAATAAAAGGTGTTTTGGGTTTGGGACTATACCATTGGTTTCAGCAGAGAAAGTACAAGTATTTGATGTGTTTTTGACCCAGGTCTGAAATGGCAACATCCATACTTCAGGCACCACTCTCTCATATCTAACGAACAACAACAATGTGGGCTTCCCCCCCAAAGGGAAACAGGGGTACAAAGGGAAACATAGGCTACTGTAGATGCACCTTTCACTCACAATGGAACAAACCAAAAACACTTACAATAGATAGTATACCTTTAATAATGACCATGATCAAATCTAAGAATGTGATAGTGACCTTTGATACAACGCATATTAAATTCAGGGGTATCTTAAACGTTTGTTTTCTTAAATGTTCATATATTCTCACAAATACCATTATATAAATCTGATTCCCTCAATCACACTCCCCTCTGTCTTTTGCATACACATACGGACATACACAGTACAGCAAGCAGGTCCCGGAAATAAGGAAAAAAAAGAAATCACAGATACCATATATACTATTCTCTGGGTTTTCATACACTTGACATTAAATTAGTCAAATTAATTTTAAGATTACACATTTGAGGCATTCTCAGTTAGCATTGCCAGTACATTAAAGCTTAACATTTCTGAGGATGAAGTGGAAGGGTTATAGTGACGTAAATATCAACGCTTTATTTCTGTTAAGGACAAGGAAAGAAAGAGTGACAGGGCTATCTTGATTTTAAAAGCAGTACAGTACATGCTACATTTGTCCCCAACATGACTTAAACATAGACCCCTGTTGTTGGAATGCCGGGGAACAGAGAAAAGTAACAGCTATGATTTTAAAATAACAAGGAAAAAGACAACATAATAGTATTGACCAGCTAAGAACCTGAACTCAGACAGTATGTTTGCATTTCCACCCCATCAAGAAAAAAGAAAGGGACCTCCTTTGAGAGCGGATGTTCTAGACATCTTTCCCCTGAATCTTTTTGCTGACACACTTGAGTTACAGCACAGCAAATATAGAGTTTCATTGACACTGTTGTCAGAAAGAAATGTTAAGGCTCCACTCTGAAAAAAGAAACAAAAATAAAACGTCTTGTATCTCTTCAACATCATTTGTTGTCACAACAGTGTTAAGCCAAGTGATACATTATTTCAAAAATATCTCTTTTTTTAAACATTAACATTTTCTAATGTCACAACCTTTCACATTATCCATTATATGCATCATTTGCAGAAGCTTTTCGCATCTTCTACCAAGCCACAAGACCACCCTCACATGGACAAGAAGGGCATAACACAACAGTTTCTTTTGATTATGCAAAATAAAACTGGCCAAGTACAGTTATCAAACAATTGTCAAGATTCAGTTATTGTTGCGTTCACTCCTCCTAAATCAGAACAACCAATACAAGCACTTTAACGTTTCTCCAACACTCACACCACCACAAGTTGAACAGTCACTGAATATCAGCAGCATGTTTGATTTTTTTTTGTTGAGACGTGCAGATATTTGTTACTCATAGTTAAGGATGTGAGTGTGGGATTATAGCAAATAAAGACCTGCCAGGCTAAAAATACAGAAGAAACAAAAGGATGAAGCAATTTGATTAAATGGAAACTGACTTCATCCCTGCGCACAACTTGGAGACTGGAAACCGGACCAGAAGCAGTGTGGCTCAAAGTTTGATGTGGGCCAAAATAAATATGAGTTTCCAATTTCTTTATGTCCTCTTTTTTTCATTATCTAAATTCCAATATGTCCATCCAAGTATAACCATTGATCAAGCTATAAGGAACATTCTTCTATTGTGGTTTACTTCGATTTTGGCGTTCCTTGGGTGGGGAGGGGAAGAAATAACAAAATTGTTACCATTCGAAAACCATTAATAAATGACATCTTCCACCCCCCACAATCGTTTATTATTTCCTTAGAGACATAGGGAACAATGTCTTGATGGGCAGAAGCCAAATAAATGGTGAAACTTCACTCAAAAGGTTATTTACCTGATCAAGTCGGGACCCTCTCTGTATTGGAGCTGGCTCATAGGTCTGTTGAAAGAAGTAACAGGCCTTTAGGGATGGTTACACCTCTTGCACAAAACAATAAAACGGCAGCAAACAAATACAAAACGGTAGACATTTGGTCTGTGATGGGACAAATCAAGCAATACAAACTCAGGTTGGCCCAACATTTTAAAAACATCCCTATGTAAAGGAGATGTACAGTGCATTCGGAAAGTATTCAGACCCCTTCTCCACATTGTTACGTTACAGCCTTATTCTAAAATGGATTAAATAAAACATTTCTCATCAACCTACACACAATACCCCATAATGACAAAGTGCAGATTTTTATAACATTTTCCTAATTTATATATTATTTACATAAGTATTCAGACCCTTTGCTATGAGACTCAAAATTGAGCTTTGGTGCATCCTGTTTCCATTGATCATCCTTGAGATGTTTCTACAAATTGATTGGAGTCCACCTGTGGTAAATTTAATTGGATTGGACACGTCTATATAAAGGTCCCACAGTTGACAGTGCATGTCAGAGCAAAAACCAAGCCATGAGGTCGAAGGAATTGTCCGTAGAGGTCCGAGACAGGATTGTGTCGAGGCACAGATCTGGGAAAGGGTGCCAAAACATTCTGCAGGATTGAAGGTCCCCAAGAACACAGTGGCCTCCATCATTCGTAAATGGAAGAAGTTTGGAACCACCAAGAATCTTCCTAGAGCTGGCCGCCCTGCCAAACTGAGCAATCGGGAGAGAAGGGCATTGGTCAGGGAGGTGACCAAGAACCCGATGGTCACTCTGACAGAGCTCCAGAGTTCCTCTGTGGAGATGGGAGAACCTTCCAGAAGGACAACCATCTCTGCAGCACTCCACCAAATCAGGCCTTTATGGTAGAGTGGCCAGACGGAAGCCACTCCTCAGTAAAAGGCACATGACAGTCGCTTGGAGTTTGCCAAAAGGCACCTAAAGGACCATGAGAAACAAGATTTAACTCTTTGGAGGAAACCTGGCACCATCCCTATGGTGAAGCATGGTAGTGGCAGCATAATGTTGTGGGGATGTTTTTCAGTGGCAGGGACTGGAAGACTAGTCCGGATCGAGGGAAAGATGAACGGAGCAAAGTACAGAGAGATCCTTGATGAAAACCTGCTCCAGAGCGCTCAGGACCTCAAACTGGGGAAAAGGTTCACCTTCCAACAGGACATCGACCCTAAGCACACAGGCAGGACAATGCAGGAGTGTATATTTCTTTATTCTTTTAGATGTGAGTGTATTGTTAAGATATTACTGCACTGTTGGAGCTAGGAACACAAGCATTTCGCTACACCCGCAATAACATCTGCTAAATATGTGTATGAGACAAATAACATTTTATTTTATTTTGATTTGACATTATAGTGCATGGAGAATGGTCTTATTTCTATCAGGAAAAAATAAAGTAGATGCTATTTCCACTTGGAACCGGTAGGTTCGATAGACCTTATTTATGGTTTCAACGCGTGTAAAGGTGGTGGAATTATTAGGGAATTAAGTAAAGGTCAGAATAAGGCGTATCTGTAGACACACCTCCGCCACAACTTCATTTATTCGATCTCCACCCCAAACGCATAGCGGGAGAAAAGCATTTTAGAATAAGGCTGCAACGTAACTAAATGTGGAAAGAGTAAAGGGGTCTGAATACTTTCCGAATGCACTATATATATATATATATATAATTTTTTTTTTTGGGGGGGGGTCTTTACAAAAATGGATTAAACATATCCTTAATGTATGATGAGTTAGTTCAGGATCTTTGCGATTAACAAGAGACAGTAATTATGATTACCTTTCTGACAACCTCCTCTTCTTCCTGTCTCTTCTCATAGTGGGAGAAGTCATCAAAGATGGAGGTGGTGTGTTTGTAAGTGGCAATGATCTTGAGCACCTGCTTAGCCTTCTCCAGAGGGACCTCCTGAGTGTCCCTAGAGTTGGTCACTGGCTTGTTGTCATTGTTTTCCAGCCTGATGTGCCTCAGCTGGCTATTAGGCACGTCTTTCACAAACAGCCAGTCCACGTCAAACTTGCCTTTCCACTTGTCCTGCGCCCAAACGCCAGCACTGGTGCCGTAGTCCACGGGCGAGAGCATCTCTGCCACGCCACAGAAGTGGCCGCTGCCATTGACGCTGAACAGCAAATAGACAGGGCCTTTGGCATTGATGGCACGGAAGGCTGAGTCCAGACGCTTGTTACCGTGCTCTGTACTGCACCAGATGGAGTATTTGATGGAGCGGTGGATGTCGTCCTCAGAGTAGCTCTTGATGATGAACACGCGGCCGTTCTTCAGGTTCCAGTCAAACTCCTTAGGGTTGTAGCTGTGGGCAGCCCGCAGATTCTCCAAAACAGGGTGGTTCTCTAGACCTGGGCCAGAACCTGGAGGCACACCTCCACCCCCTCCGCATCCATTCCCAACACCCCCACCACTAGAGGAACTGCTGCTGTCCATGCTGCCCCCACTGTAGCCCGGGTTACGGTTGCGTGGGGCAACCCAGCGGGTCTGAGGGGGTGGGTCTGAGTTGTGGTTCTGGTATGACTGCGGGGGGGGCGGGCCCATGGTCATCTGCTGCACAAGGGACTGGGCAGATTGAATGGACTGCTGAGGGGGAGGGGGGAGCCCGTGGGGGAGGTGGGCGTGGCCATGAGAGTGGAGCTGCTGCTGCTGTTGGTGGGGCAGCGGAGGGGCCACTTTGCTTATAGGCCCCTTGTTATCCCATGTCCCAATGTCCATGTTGTGTTTGATGGGTGGTGGTGGCAGGGCTCCCCCCATGGGCATGCCTGGCTTGGCCTTCAGCTGCTGTGGCTTGGCTGGTTTGCTGGCGATAGCAGCCCAGGACGTGGGCTTAGGAGCGGGCATGCCAATTGGTGTTCCACCGTTGCCTGTAGAAACAGCCTGAGCCACAGCACCACCGCCGATCACAGAGCCCACACTCTTCACGCCTGAGCCATTGCCCGACACATCCCCACCTATCTTTAGCCCCAGCATCCCCTGCTCCAGGCTGTTCATGCCTGGTGCCTTGCTCAGAGTGTCACTGTGGAACCCTGTCTGGCCATCAGAGACTAGTGTGCCCCCCAGGGAGCTGGGAGGGTAGCTGTAGCTGCCCCCATAGGCTGAACTCTGAGTCTGCTGGCCTTGAGACCCACTGGTACCCCAGGTGGAGAAGGCCGGGTTCTCAGGGAAAAAGTTAAACCTATGTGGGTAGATGCTGTTGCCAAGCCCCCCAGGCTGGCCAAACACAGTGTCATGCATGAAGTGGTGGTCTCCATTGCTGAGGGGCGCATATGGGGTCAGGTAAGGGATAGGGGGGTCGCCACCGGTGGACCAAGGGGCCTCGCTCAGGGGGTAGGGGAATCCAATGGAGGGGGCATAGTAACTGGACAGGTAAGGGTCAGTCATGGATTGGTAGCTGTTGTTCTAGAAAGAGTGTAAATACAATTTGTTGTTGAAATCCTGATATATCAAACTAAATATCAACATGACCTACCACCACCAAAACTCCAATGACCGTTAGCTTATACCCCAAAAATCCATATTTTGGGACCAAAGGGCCATGCGTGCAGTGCTTAAGGAATCATCTTTAATTATGTCAATGGTAATAATATCTGCTAACAGTGTAGCCAAGCAAAACTCCTGTCCTCCTGTGAGACAGTATTGATTTTTGGTCTTCCCCTGCAGCTAAGTCACATTTTCCCCTTCTAATTCAGACAGATACACACATTTCAAAACTCACTCACCTGATTGGATTGGCCAGTGAGATAGGGCTCAAAGTCATTATCATGTACAGTTTCCTTCTGGTGGAGTGAGCCATTTTGCACTGAAACTGGAAAGACTGATAGTAGGGTTATTTATCAATGTGTATGTCAAATAAACAGACAAACACACACTTACATGTCTCTCCTTCATTCAATAAACATCAATATATGCATGAGAAGACCATAGAAATCTGATGTTAGCAATGTTGTTCTGCAGTCAGTACTGACTAACACTTGGGTGTGTAAAAGCTGTAAGACATAAAATGCATAAGACATGCATCACTGAAATTGTCAGAAAGTGGTGTGTTGACCGTTACATAGAATTTGGATCGCACGAGCCAGCATTGTATTTACACAGCAGGTGCATTGTTTGTAACTCAGTCCGTGCATGGTCAGTGCTCGCTACCGGCAACCAGCTGAGCAATCGCCGTATACCTAACTAGTCACACAAATTATCTAGCTAACGTTAACCACAGTGATCTTACCTTTAGCGTCTTGTCCTTTTGCATTCTTCATTCCCGTGTAATTGGTTAACATGTAAATGAGAGAAAATCAACGTTTTAGCGGTCTAATTAACATCCAACACACTCGCTGAAAATTAGAAGCTCGCTTACATTTACGTTAGCTACCCAACACGTTACTAGCTAGCTAACGTTAGCTATGTAAACACGTCATTGCGTTAGCACAGAACCACAACTTGCTAGAACTGCAACAGCTGAAACTGTTTCTGCCAATATTAATAAGGAGAATACATATGAAATACATAACGTTAGCTAGTTAACGTTAGCTAAAAGCCTAAGTGCTAGGAACGAAACGTGGCGATACCTTCTAATTATTATTGGTATAAAAGTCTGATTTATTAAATGGTAGCTAGCAGCTAACCTGCTAACTAAATTGGAGTTAACGTTAGCTAGCTAGATAGCATCTCAGCAATGGCAACGGGTGAATTGGGCGCACAATCAACCCCCTTTCCTCAATGCAAGGCCTTCTTGACGCTGAGTGGATTTTTTCTGGAAAATACAGTCTGCCTACCTGAGGGTCAATACTTGTAGCAGACATAATTCATGAAGCAAGCCACTGGATTTGTGTAGAGCGTTTCAATTAGACGTGTTCCCTCAAAACCTGCGTTTTATTCGTATCCCAGAACAGTAGCTAGCTAGCTATTCAGCAAGATTTTTTCCTCCGTTACAGTCAGCAGCAAGCTAACTCAAACTACTGTTCCAAGGCTCAATTCTGCCAGTCCCCCTATGTTTACGTAAATCCAATTTGGAGATAGTCCTGGTGGTTTCGAAGGGTCCACTGTTAGGATTAATCCAATGAGGGTTGTATTTTTGCTTTTTCCACCAAATACCAAATTGCAGTTATTCTGCTGATGGCCCTGTTCACTTCCCCCAATAGCAGGTTCATCCGGGGTCTAAATGAAGGGGATTTACGTCAGCGGCACACCAGGCGCGGTGCATCAATGACAAAACGTCGGAAGTCATGCCTCTTCAATAGGAGGACTGCGGTAATCGCGTTTCAAAAGCATCAATTGTGATCTTTAATGCTCTGCCGCGATGACGAGTCAGCGCGCTAACCAATCCAACGGAAGAGTGATGGGGCCGTTCTGAAAGGGGCCGATTTATTTGAGGCACAATCTACTAGATTTAAATTAAGACTTTGATAATAACATTTCAAACTTTCACACTAGAGGAAATACTCTCAATAGCAATTTAGATATCATGTACATTATCTTCACGACTGCAAGACACTTGAGTTGGCTTACGTGAAGTTACTACAAAGATTATGTCTAAAACATTGCAGTGAAGCCATTTAGTGACTTTTATTTCCACTCACACTTTTTAAAGACAATTATTCTGTTGTGTTTCTCACAAACATTCAGTTATATCTTTGTTATAAGTGCTTCATAGAGAGAATGTAAAGCTGCATGTATTTATCATAGCCTCCAAGTAGACCTAAACCCCTGCAATAATTTTATAACATTGGAATTTGATGGACTGGACTCTGTGAGTCGCGACTTCAATAATATAAAGTGATACTCACTGACCGAGCCAATGGTTAACATGTTATTTAAAAAAAAAGTCAATAGTAAGGCAAGTAAATGAGGAATATGAATCAAAACATACCTGCACACATTGGCTAAAAGAAAAGCACAGTTTATTTAAACAAAATTCACTTAAAGATACAGTCAGGGCCTTTTTCCACCAGTGGCATGTCAATTCGAACAAAATTCAGAGGTAGGACTAAACAAATAGAATATGCTTTTTTACATGACAACCACTGACATTAGCTAATTTATATCACAATATCTTTATTTTCCTCTGCTATCTGGAATCTAATGTATGAACTGCGCACAGGCGCACACACATACACACACACACACACACATACACATTTACACACTTATACCTTCACATAGGTCCAAATCCTCACTATAAATCTGTCTACATAACTTTGATAATTTGCACGTGACTCAAATGTTCATGCAAATCTCCTATTAACATCAATGTAGGACACACAATTATAGGGTTTGGTCCATTTTCAATGGTATGTGTAAATGCATATTTTTTTACAGTGCCATTATGTCATAATACAACAAATACCATTCCCTGTACACTGATACATGTTATGTCAGAATTATTAGTAGTTTTCTGATTGTACCTGTATTGACCTATAGCCTGCAGGGTGCCACTCTGTTTTTTCTCCTCTCTTGCCAACTTCATATGGAATTGTCATGCCAAACAGCTTGACAATGACAATGGAGTAGGCAAAAGCACAAACAGATCTGGGACCAGGCTAGTATTGACCATAACTGCACTGAACAGAGAACTCCTGTTGGTGTAGGCTAGTATGCATTAAGAGTGCTGGGAGGCAGAGGAATTATGTTTTGAGCAGTGTGGGGATGTCTTCTGTTTCAGTGACTGGAGATATGATCTCACTCTTCCAAAATAGGTATTTCACTCTGTCATTCCTCTTCTGCCCTCCTTGCCTGTCAGTCATTTTCAACCCACTTGCAAGCCTTTTCTTATAGTCTGTAAAACAAAACATGATGGTAAGGTAACTGCACAGCCTCAGACAGAAACATACTGAGTACATACTTCAATATCCAATATGTGTGCACACACACACACACACACACACATACACGCACACACACGTATGTGTATGGTCTGATACTGTGTGTGCCGAATATGTGTGATTTTGTTCCCCCTTTGAAAATAATGGTACTTACAGCCCAATGGTACACTATAAATACTGCGGCGATGGTTTAGATGGATAATGAACCCCACCAATGAAATTAACTGAAAAAGAAAACCCAATTATATGAATAAATATAAAATGATGCAATACTAATTTAATCAATGAACTTTTTGGATGGAAGCGTCACTTTTGAGCTCTAGACAGTTTAAACCAACTCTTAAATAAAAGGGCATACATTATTAAAACAAGTGAAACATAACAAATAAAAAAGGATAAACAAGGCCTTGACAGTAGGGCTGTGACATTACCAGCATCGCGCAATTTTTTCCATGGCAAAAATGAAACCATGAAGCAGACTAAACTCTCTCTTTGGTCCTTTACAAACCTGCTGTATGTAAAATAGTGTGTGCTATAGCTTGGGAAATACATGAATGTGACTCTGGATGACAACATAATGATGTTTGTTTCCAACATTAGGGCGGTTTTTCTAAAGAAGTTAAATCCGATCCGTGTTATGTTTCCTTGCCACGATACTAACGTGTGTCGCAAAACTGGTATTGTCCCGGCCCTACTTGACAGTATTACATGTGGCTGTGACCTTATGCCGTACTATCTGTTCTAGTATGTGTGTCAAATTGTGTATGTGTTTTCTTTGTAAAGTGTGTTGTGACATGTGTAAAATGCACTTTAAATTCACATACAGCTGTCCTCCTCCTCTGTGAAGGTGCTGACCACATAGCAGGCATAGACCAATCCCAGCTGTAGGCACAAACACAGAGACCACCAGTTCAACATTCAAATCAAATCAAATTTTATTTCACATGCGCCGAATACACCAGGTGTAGACTTTACCGTGAAATGCTTACTTACGAGCCCTTCCCCAACAATTAAAAAGTAAGAAAATTAGCAAATAAAAATAGAAAATAGTAATACAATAAATAACAATAATGAGGTAGTTGAGGTAATATGTACATGTAGGTAGGGGTAAAAGTGACTAGGCAATCAGGATAGATAATAAACAGAGTAGCAGCAGTGTATGTGAAGAGTGTGAAAGTGTGTTTATGTGTGTGTGTGTGTGGCGTCAATATGCATGTGTGTGTGTGAGCATATGTGTGTGAGCATATGTAGTGTGTGTGTGTGTGTGTGTGTGTGTGTTGGAGTGTCAGTGTAAGAATGTGTGAGTGTGTGGGTAACATGTAACATTACATTCCAATGAAGCCCACCACATGGGTATGTTCTGAATTTATTTCATTGTGTGTTTGTGTGTGAGAGAGAGAGCAAGAGAGAGTATTCACAGAGATTAGGAGTTGTATGATACAGTGTAGGAACTCTTATGTATTGGTATTCCAGCCAGCATCCCAGAGCAGAGATGAGTTTTGGGCTCTCCAGACTCTGCCATCTAGTGGCATGAAGGTCCCTGTCGTCACAGCCTGGCCCGTTGTCTTTCCACCATGAACGTTGTGAGGATACACCCAGGGATAGCAGGTCGCTCTCCTGCAGTGACACAGCATATGGGCTGTTCATGTTCAAATCACATTTTATTTGTCACATGTGCCGAATACAACAGGTGTAGACCTTACCGTGAATGCTTACTTACAAGCCCTTAACCAACAATGCAGTTGAAAGAAAATAAAGCTAAGAAAAACTAAAGTAAATAAATATATAAATTAAATAAAAGTAACACAATAAAATAACAATAATGAGGCTATATACAGGGGGTACCGGTACCGAGTCAATGTGTGGGGGTACAGGTTAGCCGAGGTAATTTGTACATGTAGGTAGGGGTAAAGTGACTATGCATAGATAATAAACAGCGAGTAGCAGCAGTGTGTTTGGACCATGATAGTTTGTTGGTGATGTGGACACCAAGGAACTTGAAACTCTCGACCCGCTCCACTACAGCCCCGTCGATATGAATGGGGGCATGTTCGGCCCTCCTTTTCCTGTAGTCCTCGATCATCGCCTTTGTCTTGCTCACGTTGAGGGAGAGGTTGTTGTCCTGGCACCACACTGCCAGGTCTCTGACCTTGTCAGTAGCTGAGTGTAGATGCGGTGAGGAAATCAAGCGCAGGAAACACGGGCGTTCGTCAACAGACTTTAGTTAACAAAATGCAGCACCAAACAGGCGAACAGCCAACCCAACCGGGAGGCAAAATACAAATTACGCACAACACACACAGTGCGTAAAAATGAAGATAGCGCACACAGTGCGGACTCTCGGAAAACAACAAACACGAGAGTAATACAAAAGAGCAACAGCTTGACAATAAACAATACCACATAACACCTGCCCCCACACACGAAAACTAAATAGGCAACCAAATCAAACACTAACAAGGGACAGGTGTACAAACAGACAAAACCAAACAAACATGAAACATCGAACGGTGGCAGCTAGTACTCCGGGGACGACGACCGCCGAAGCCTGCCCGAAACAAGGAGGAGGAGCAGCCTCGGCCGAAACCGTGACAGACCTCCTCCCTATAGGCTGTCTCATCGTTGTCTGTGATCAGGCCTACCACTGTTGTGTCGTCAGCAAACTTTAATGATGGTGTTGGAGTCATGCTTGGCCACGCAGTCGTGGGTGAACATGGAGTACAGGAGGGGACTAAGCATGCACCCCTGAGGGGCCCTCGTGTTGAGGATCAGCGTGGCAGATGTGTTGTTGCCTACCCTTACCACCTGGGGGCGGCTGTCAGGAAGTCCAGGATCCAGTTGCAGAGGGAGGTTTTTAGTCCCAGGGTCCTTAGCTTAGTGATGAGCTTTGTGGGCACTATGGTGTTGAACGCTGAACTGTAAAGCATGTTTATGTATTTATGGTATGTAATTGTTTGGGAAAAGAAAGACTGATTGATGCAGTGCCAAAATAATACACAATTCAAGGTGAAGCAAATTTATTACTTGATAGCGGGTCTGAATATTAGTGACCAATACCTTGGAAAGGCCTCCCAGGTCCAAATAGAGACAGCTCACAAAGACATTCCACGCCACCCAAGGTAATGTCCACAGCAGGTACTGAGGGATTAAAATATATTTGATGATCATTTTAGACACATAATGTCTATCTATTTGTATGGAGGCAAATCTCTATACATGACACAATTGTAACAGTGGCCAATGCTGTTCCACAATAGTTATACAAATGGCTTTGCCTTCCACACGTACAGTTCCATTCTTCTATGAAGAATAGGCACATTTCATGGAATTATCCATGTTGATTTCAAGGTGTAATTTGTAAGTAAATACAGTACACTGCATTTAAACTTGCCTATGTAATAACCATTTAATTACATAACTTTCTCAACTTTTAATATAACGTGGGGTCAATATTTATATTTACAGCACATAAACATTCTTACATTACAGGTGATCCCTTACAGCTCTTGTACATTGGATTATGAATTAACAGTAATATTTCAGTGAGGACTGAAAATTGCTTTTATTTGTCTTAGACAAAAACACAACATTATCCATTGTATGATAGCCTGGGGCAGATTAACACAAAAATAGTGTGGCCTAGATGTGACTTACTAGAGCAATGTAGCGTGGTCTGTACTGAATGGTGCCAAAGAGGCAGAGGATAACCATGATTATGTGCAGGAAGTTGACCATGATGGGAGTCCACTGGTACCCAAGGAAGTCAAAAGCCTGCCTCTCTAATGCTGTCATCTGGGATGTCAAAGGGAGAGAGCAGGAGGGGCAGAAAGAGATGGTGGGTTAAGAATCTCTATGACATGTATTATGCATGATGAAGCATCTTATCAAGTCATCCACTCACTGCTTCAAGACTCTCCAGATATTCTAATCTAAACAGTTGGTTCTGAATTGATGGATGGTGGTGTTAAACGGTCATCTCCCTACAAAGCATTCACTAGATTATTTTTTCCCCATGCTGACTGCTCTCTCTGGGTTGTCAAGGTAACTGAGCCACTGGGACAAACCATGTTGCAGGGAGAGGGGCAGAGCAGGGATGTGAATTCTGTCCTCTGAGGTCGCCTTCTCAATCACTCAAAAGGGGGGTAGGGTGGGAAGAAAGAGCGGGACAAAGTGGGACTAAGGTTCAGGCAGAGTGGGGTTTGGCTCCCTTTCCCCATTGGTAACTCATGCAAGCAAGATAAACATGCATCTTTTTGTATTCTAAAAGCACACAATCAATTATTTTATTTTCAGTGTTGACCCATAGCTTGTAGTAATGGTGAGCATGAATACAAAAATCTTAATTTAAAAAAAATATGTTGGAGAGAAAGATGAATTTATGTTTGATTTATGTTTTATTGATGTGTAACATTTATATAATAATAATACACTTAAATTAGTTTTCTCAGCACACAATATAAATGGCCAATTATTGCATAATTTTACTTCAAATTTGTTTAATTCAATTTAGTTGTATAAGGAAATGTGGTCCTCTGTAGCTCCAGGGTAGTGGGTTCGATCCCCGGGACCACCCATACGTAAAAATGTATGCACACATGACTGTAAGTCGCTTTGGATAAAAGCGTCTGCTAAATGGCATATTATTATTATATTATTATGAAATGGAAAGACTATTTGACTGGTGTGTCGTGGGAACTCTAATTTACACGTTTATCTCAAACTTGCAAAATTTGGCTACTTCGTTTTGTCGTTCCAAAAACAATTTCAACAACATCAGCTAGCAGAAGTGGCAGTAATCGTTGAATAGAAGTACATCAAGGCTATGGTAGCAGGTGTGTTTTGAAAGTCTGTATAGACATACCTTCATCGCAGAATAATGATCTCACCACTTGGAGAGTGGTAGCTCAGTTGGTAGAGCATGGCGTTTGCAACGCCAGGGTTGTGGGTTCCATTCCCACGGGGGGCCAGTATGAAGAAAAAAAAAATTATGCACTCACTAACTGTAAGTCGCTCTGGATAAGAGCGTCTGCTAAATGACTATAAATGTTTTTTTGTTTTGTTTTTTAATGCAGAGGAAGATCAGCATACATCGTCGTCGTCTCTTTCTGCATAAACGGGTTCCAAACAGGCGAATCGAAACAGCAAAGCAACTTTTTATAAATGAATAGGGGCAAATTGAATAGTCCTCCCATATCCAAACATTTAGCAGACGCTCTTATCCAGAGTGACTTACAAATTGAAACAAGCTCTCCCGTCCGGGGACGTGTCGTGGTTTGCGGTGGTGGAACAAAACTAGCTGAGAAGGAAAAACACATAGGACTGTTACAACGAGGGGGAGGGTAGGGGGCATAGTAATTGCCCTACACGGATGCTCTGGTAGGTGTGGCGCTAAGGACGCTCTACCCTGCACTAGTGGAAGACGCCAGTAGTTGGTGGTGCTGGTGGAAGGGACAATGAATTAACGTTTAGTAGCCTATATGTGCACAGGACCAAGAACATTTTTGGGCTCAGTGATATTTTCTCAAAAACAAATATTTGTCCATTCTTTCCACCCAAATTGTTCACTTTCAAGCAACCCTCACCTGGGGTCATTTACAAACATTGCATAGGCCCACAGGACCTAAAACAACTGGTTCCTATGGACCATGGAAGTACTACAAAGGCATGTCCAACTCATATTGAAGCCTATAACCCAAACAGGAAAACGCTTGCACAGAAAAACCCGCGTTAGGGCGGTGCTGAAGGATAGCGCCACTCAATAGACCAGGTTGGAATCGTTGGAATGATTTGTCAGCACTTTGTCAAATGGCTGTTCTATTACTGTGACACAGTAAAATACAGAATAATAATTATTTGGTTTCATCCAGTGATGTGATAACACAGCCTGATCAACCAAATTATGACCCGTCCTTGGTGATTACAAAGCATTTGGCTAACACTCACCACATTATTATTACACATTTATAAGCCTACACATGGTCATCTATTTCACCTCAGACGTCCACATCTATGTGATGGCTTAGATTGAAAGGTTATGCCAATCTCCACGCGCTCCATTCACCGCACTTCTCCATCCTTCCGAGGGATGACGCTAGAAGCAAAACACAAATTCATAATTGGGGTTCTCCAGTTCTCTCTGTCACATGGCTATACCACTGAACTGAGGAATAGAGTGTAGAGATGGAGGGGGCTTGAGAAACTGTGGTGGAAAATCTGACGGTTCGATACAACACAGGGGATACAGCGGAAAATAGTTAATCTGTCTGCTTGCTTTGCTTTTCGACTTGGAAACAGGGGCGCATGCATAGCGGGTGCAAGGGGGGCGGAGGTGTCCAAAAATGCCAAATGCAATGCTGCATTAGGCTAATGTTTTCTCACACAAGAGGCTCCAGTTATCGCCTTTAATTGATTATGCTAGCGGGGAGTGGATGGTCTGAGTGGAAGCAGAAATTGAAGGAACAGACCAAAGTGGACGCTGCGCGCCGTCGCGCCTCCCGAATCTCTGAGCTGAGTGAGTATGAGATGAGCTCCTGGCGCAATGCTCTGCCTCGAACATGTCTTTCTGTCAGCATGTGGGATTGTCATATATCCACATAATTTGATTATAGATTTTCTGCTGACATAAATTTGATTAGCTTATTCATATTTTTCAATATGATCATTGATTGGTAAGCTAAATGCATTGCTCCTCGCGATTTTTTCTTTGTGTTCACAGGGTCCCTTACCTTTATTTCCAGTGGTCATGCATTTAATAGAGCAGACACGTGTGCAACAGCCACAATATCACTGCATTGCCTGGCTTTCGTGATTAGACATCTAATTAACCGATTCATCAGAGAACCTCAATGCAATTGCATGCGAGCATTATGGAAACGTTTATGTGTAGGCTAGGCTACGTTTACATCGCATGCTTAGTATTCGAGAGGCTTCTGTGAATCATAAAGATAATTAACATTAGACCGATATTTTTGTTTGATAAGAGATCACCAAGCTTGGTCAGTGAATGAGAACACGCACACATGACAATCACTGCATCGATTCTCATGTGTGTGTGTGTCTCTGAACCTTTTTTGTGATTCTTTCAAATGCCTTGGCACGGTCAAATTCGCCTCGCGTGTTCACACCCAGTCTTCTCTGTCATGGCAAGTGTCATGGTGTGCCAGCCATGCCTGCTCGGTGTTTGGTCTCTAACCTGTTGTCTCCGGAATCACTGCAGTTTGAGCTGTCGGGGTTCTGGATGAGATGTTAAAACCCAACCAGCCTATGAGAGAGTCGCGGTGTGCAGTGCAGGCAAGGGCGCAAATCATTAGGCTCACATAGCAGGCTACTGGACTGATGCTTAATGAAGAGGTTGAATAGGAAACATTGTGTGTAGCCTACTTGTGGAGAAGACGAAATACATTTGAGTTTGCTACAGGATAAAATGTAGCAAAGGAGGTGGTGGTTTGGGATTTGCTTTTGTCAGCATCATAGGGTGCACACACATTGTGGCTCAATGTGCTCATGGTCTCTCTCTCTCTCTCTCTCTCTCTCTCTCTCTCTCTCTCTCTCTCTCTCCTCTCTCTCTCTCTCTCCTCTCCTCTCTCTCTCTCCTCTCTCTCTCCTCCTCTCTCTCTCCCTCCTCTCCTCTCTCTCCTCTCTCTCTCTCTCATCCTCTCTCCTCTCTCTCTCTCTGTGTGTGTGTGTGTGTGTGTGTCTGTATGTGTGTGTGTGGCTGGAATGACTCACAGATAAAAGGTGGGGCTGCTCTCCACATCATCTCCCAATTGATTGATCAGGACTTAAGTGCTATGCTTGCTTTGGCCATGGGAGTTCAGGACATAGAGAGAATAGAGACAATGTATCTGTTGGTATATGAGTGTGTGTGTGTGTGTGTGTGTGTGTGTGTGTGTGTCAGGGTTGGGCTCATTTCAGGATTTTGGAATTGACTCCCAATCAACTCATGAGTTGAAATTCAAATTGAATTGGCCACAACCCACAGGATGTAGAATTAGAATTTGAGCTTGAGTGACAGGAAGTAGAATTGAATTCAGTGCAATTCAAATAAATTCCACTCAGCCATAGAACATGAGAGTTTCATTGAATCTGACAGGTCACACTTCCAGATACCAAAGAATATATCACTTTTCTCTGGAAACAATGTTTATATACAGTGGGCTCCAAAATTACTGGCACCCCTGACTGGCAATGCACAAACAATACTTAAAAAAATATAAACAATATAATTATAGAGATAAACTCAAAGTACCAACATGTGAGAAATACTGTACTATATTAATGTTTCAATGGAACCAACCAAAATCATACAATTATTTAATACAAAATAAATGTCACCAAAATCAAGGTTTCATAATTATTGGCACTCCTCATTTAGTACTTAGTGCAACCACCTCTGGCAAGGATAACAGCATGGAGTCTTTTCCTGTAATGTTTGACAAGGTTAAGGAACACATTTGGAGGGATTCTGGTCCATTCCTCTATGCAGATCCTTTCAAGATCCTTCACATTCTTGGGTTTGTGCTTATCAACTGCCCTCTTCAACTCAGCCCACAGATTTTCGATTGGATTGAGGTCCGGTGACTGAGATGGCCATTGCAGAACATTGATTTTGTTGTCACAGAACCATTTCTGTGTGGATCTTGAGGTATGTTTTGTGTCATTGTCTTGTTGGAAAGTCCACCTATGGCCAAGTCCCAGCCTTCTGGCAGAGGCAACCAGATTGTCAGCCAAAATTGCCTGATACTTACTGTAATTCATAATGCCATCAATCTTAACCAGTGCCCCTGGACCTC